ATCCCGTTTTGAATGCACCGTCTGTCATTTATTCAACAGATTTGTTCAAACTGCTGATTCATTCAGAAACGAGGCAAGTGACTACTGTCTTTATGAATGGGTTACTGAATCATTGACTCACTTGATTCGTTCAAAAACGTGGATTCATTAAGTAAAGAAACACCACTGTGTTGCTCGGAGACACAAAACAGTTCTGCTGTGGCTTTGATTGGAACTATTTTTATCAGCGAAATTGATCAAAAACAGTCAATATTTTGTCTAAAATGTAAGCCGCTTAATTTTAACTTCTTGTTTATTGAACTACTATTGAAAAAAATCACATTGCAATCGTGTTGAATCATTTTGGTCGTGCAATGTTGCGTACCTAAATCATATATTATAACCATAGACTGTATAAAAACATGGACGTAGTGTCCGTGACGTCACCCGTAGATTTTCGAAGAGCGTTTTTGAAGCTCAAAGTGGGCGGAGCGGGCCATCACCATCACCAGCGCGTCACCGCAAGTCACTCCCGGATAATCGAAAATGGGCAAAGTGTGGGAGGTTGCTGCTTGATTATAACTTTCTTTTTTTTACTACTGCAGTATGCATCTATAACTTTCTGTGTGTGCTGTTGGCAACAGCCTGTTGTTGTGCTCATTTGTTTTGATTTCTGCACGAGTCTCTCACACACTCACTGAGGCCCCATTTACACTAGTGCGTTTTCGTTTTAAAAGGCATAACTTTTTCTACGGTTACGCCTGTCATTTACACTACTCTGTTGTGTTTTCGACCCTCAAAAACAGAAACTTTTGAAAACGCTACAGACCCAGTTTTAGTTTGAAAACTCCGGGGTTGCATTTCAGTGTAAACGGACCAAAACGGAGACTTTTGAAAACGATGGCGTGGCTGCCCACATTCGCTCTGCGTATCGTTGATGACCGTGTAAACAATAACATCATGCTCATTGTTGTACCCTTAGATATCTATAGGTAGATTCCCCATTTGACTGCTCCAAGCACGTAGACGCTCCTGCCATCTAAATAATAGGGAATCTACATATGCATATCTATGGTTGTACCTGCATGAATGGTCATGTGACATGCATTTTCGGTTGTGTAGTGTAGACTGAGATAGTTTCTGAAACGCAGTGAAAACGCCAGTGTAGACGAAGATCATTTTCATTCTAAAATGCAGTTTTAAAACGAAAACGCACTAGTGTAGACAGGGCCTCAGGCTGCGCAAGCCTCATCTGGCACGACATAAAATCAGTCAGTCGCAGTAAGTGTGACATCAAAACGGACCGCCCGGTCATGCGGAAAATCGGCTAATTCCGGTGTTGTGCCGAAATCGGTGACCTAGATAAAACTGTGACCAGGGCTCGCTGTTTAGCAAATGTTCACGCGGGACCGCGCACATGTTAGATCAGACGCTGCTGAAGCCGAATGATCAGGAGACGAGCGGTGCTGTAAAATATGTTTCATGTCTTAAGACTAGAAAACAAGCTAAATATTGTCACGAGCATCTAAATGCGTATATAGAAAGGAAATGAAACATTAATGCTGCATTAATTAACATTAATGTGTTACTACTAAGAATGGTTTCCTTATGAGATGTTTTAGGGCTCGTTATGTAAAACATATTCTGATATCTGATAAATGTGGGTCTTATCTTTATTCTTATTACTGTTTACTGTAATTACTCAATGTTGGAGATCTACAGTTTGTTCCTTACAAATGCATATGATTGCAGTTGGCTAGGGTCACTGAATCTGACAAGTAAAAATTCATAGCTATCAAAATGTTACCACTCTTTATTTCATAATAACTGACTAAAAATGTTTAATAAAGTGACTCATGTGGTGTGTGAGCTCCTCTTCTTTCTATTTTACATAAATAAAGCATATTGATCAGATATTGATATATTTATAGATACAGTAGGGTCTTTCCCCCCTGATTTTCTTGTGCAGATTCAATGTGAAAAATGCAGATTGAGAAGGAATTATTTTGCCCAACATGCATTTATCTTGTTACCATCAGTAATGGCCAGTAGAGTCGCTACAAGTAGTGACGCTACTAGCTTAACTACATTTCTCATAGTGTGGTGGTAGTGTTGCTGTTTTCTGAATCAAATAGCTTTTCAGTAGCGAAGCTCTGTTTTTGATCAAGTAGCGTGGTAGCGTCAACAAAAGCTACATTTTTCAAAGCATTCTGAAGCTCAAGCTCACATCGAAAACATAACTGCTAAGGCTCACTGATCCTGGATCAGTAAGTGACGCCACCGCCACTAAACCCCGTAACTCCATTGGCTGTTCAAACTGTCAGTCAAACCGCATTATTCCTCCTGCCTCTTTTGTGAATGAAGTGCCGTGTGCAGTTTCTTTAGGACAGGGGTGCCCAATCCTGCTCCTGGCGATCGACTGTCCTGCAAAGTTTAGCTCCAACCCTAATCAAACACACCTAAATCAACTACCGTATTGACCCGAATATAAGACGATGTTTTTTTCTTGGAAATACATCTGAAAAAACGCGGTCCTCTAATATTCAGGGTTTAGACTTTGACATGTCAATAATACACCCACAACAATAGGTGGCGCCAAATACGCATAAAACGAGTGTGCCATGAAATACGTAATGTAATGCGTATTGTAAAGATCGTGAGTAAAAACAAAAGAAAAAGAAAAGCTTACGGCTGCATGAGTCGTGACTGTCACGTTAGCCTGATGGGACCAAACTCCCTTTGTGATTTTAAAACGTAAGACTGTACCCAGATTTGAAGACTACAGTAAGATTTAACTTCTGCTGTTAATAAGATTTTGGTAGGCTACTATTAGATGGATAGCCTAAATGTCCTAATTCAGATGGGCTACCTGTTTTTTTTTAATGGTATATCAAAAAAAGTGTATATTTTTTAAATGTGATTGTTGGTACATTTTACCAGTTTTTACCATACTTTCAAAACAAAAATTAAAATAGGAAAAATATGCAATATGAAAATAATTGAAGACAAAATGTGTTTTACTGAGAAAAAACAAGATTTGGTTTTTAAAAGCCTTTTTCCAAAAGGTACATCTGGAAAAAGGGGGGTCGTCTTATATTCGGGCCAATACGGTAATTCAGGTCTCCAGGATCACTTGAAAATTAAAGGCAGGTGTGTTTGATTAGAGTTGGGGCTGAACTTTGCAGGACAGTCGATCGCCAGGAGCAGGATTGGGCACCCCTGCTTTAGGGTCTTAATGAAAAGTCTATAACATACTTTGGTTAAAATTTATCAGTGGTAGTTTAAAACAACACCCTTTTTACCCTGTCAAAAACAGCTCTGTTTACAGCAAGCGTTTTGTTGCAGGTTCCTTTAAATGTAAATGAGCTCTGCTCACCCCGCCCCTCTCTTCCGAGCTGCTCTCTGAGAGACCGTTTACTTTAGCCACATTCATCGTGAAACTTGCTAATTAGCACATTATTAGGAAAGGC